ATTTCCAAAATGTCTTGCAGTCTAAATAAAGGGACAATATACATATTTCAACAAAAATTGGCTTACATTGTTTTATTTTTTGAATTGTTGGTTTTGATTCTTAGCCTAAGGTCCATCTGTCTGTCTGCATGGAGTTTGTATGTGTGTCTGATTTACTAGCGACCAGCTCAACCCGCCCTTCACTCGTAGATTGCTGTAGATGGGCATCAGCTCCCTGTGACCCTGAATAAGTGATGGATGGATGGAGCGAGTGAGGGTCTTCCTCATACAGACACCGAACCTCCTGCCCTCTTTTCACCTGAATCAAATTCTTTCTTTCTTTCTCTGAATGTGTTCCAATGCACAGTGTCTGGTTGGTGTGAGGCAGCGACCTCTGACCTCTGTGACTGTCATTGCTTCTCTAACGTTTTTCTGTTTTCTTATGTCAGTATTATAGCGCGTCAGGAATGCCAACCAAGCACCTGTCGGATAATATCTGCGCCGTGTGTGGTCAGCCTATTCTGGTAGATGTCAGTGAGGAAGGGATCATCGAGAACACCTACAGATTGTCCTGCAATCATGTGTATCCTTCCTGTCCTGCTCACACAGATGGGCTTTTCTTGCCAGTGGAAAGGGAAGTTAAGGTGCATCATGAGGTGTTGTCTCTTTCAAAGAGTTAATTTACAGTATTGTTTTGGGAACCACAACATGTAAAGAGGAATTGACAGGGTGTACCTGACCTTTATCCTACACTGTGTTTGATGCTATAAAAACACCATAGGCTACTTCCCCAGCGATGATTGTAATCTGCTAAACGTTGAAAACCACATGACTAGCAGTAATATGTGGTCAACTTTGGTTCATGCATGAACCCTTAAAGCATGGAATGATTTCTCCACATTTGCCAGAGAAAGTCTAACAAACCTGCATTTTTATGCTTTTTTTTTTCTTTTTTTTAATATTGCTTTTCTATTATTTTAAATCAAAGTTATTAGGAACTACTGATGAAGATCCACAGAGCCTTTCTGGAGCTGCAGGTTGCAGAAGCCTGCTCCAAAATAATCGATGCCTGTTCTACCTGTAAATAATACCACTCATTTAATGTTTTCTGCAAAAGTTTTCAAATCAGGGTTTATGGTAAACTGAAACTGATGATAAACCAAAAACTTTTGTAGCGAAAATATTTTTGTCAACAGAAATGAGTAAAATGACTGCCTGAAACTGTGTAGCACGCTTGCGAAACTAAAACATATGAGATGCAGCACATATCAGGGATCAGTTAGACTGACGTTAAAACAATCAGCATCAGTGTTTAAAAAAAGTTGATCTCGATTCCAAACTCTCAACATTAGCACCACAAAGATTACAGCCACTTATCCATCAAGCCTGATAGGTGTTAGCTCCCATCTTTTTAAAGGGGTGTGGAAGCAAAATATAACCTGTTTAGATTCTGAGAATCTCTTTTGTTACCGACAGCTCGTGGTTTTTTTTTTGTTCCTGTAAGCAGTGCTGGGATTGTTCCCACAGCAGGCTGATGTTGGCTTTAGTCGCCCTGGAAAATACTGCAGCGTGCGTGACCCAGCGGCAGGCGCACTTAAAATGTGGGATCCTCATTTGTTCAGTTGGGAAACACCGACTTCCAGACGGCGCCGGTGGATGTTTGAAAGTTGTGTAGCTGTGGTCTATAATCAGTGGCCTGAGGTTTGTCACCTGTCAGAGCTTTAATACTCCAGATATCACAGAGGGTTGCATTTAGGAGGAAGCTTGTGGTAAACTTGACTTTATTTTCCGTCAAGCATTTAGACCAAAAAATAAATAAATGCATGTTTAAAATCTAAATTTTTTTGCCACTAAAAGGCTCTTTTAGTATAATCTAAAAGTTTTAATGTTCCACGTTTGTTTGGCAAAACCTTCTAATAAAATGCAATACAACAAAGTACATAGAATACAGTTTATAATGTGCACAATAAATATATTTATAGTTTATTTCTTCAGAATTTATTTCCAAATTACTTTTTAAAATATTTTTTTCAGACATATCTTTTTTTGTTTTTAAGGTGTCATCTTTATAAATCCTTTTCCTGATTTTCTTTTGAATAATTTTTTTAAATGTATTTTTCCTACAGATTTTGATCAAATGTATTTATTTTCAAACTTTACTGATTTATTTTTAAAAATAAAAATAAATCCCCTAGTAATGCTGGAGACCAATAGGAATACTGTTGCTAACGTCCACACAGAGCAGACTTTTTATTGGTTGAAGTTTGCACATGTTTTAAATTCCTCTACATTACAAAGACTCACTTTTTGATTTTTCTGCCCTTTTCTACACATTTTCCTTTTTGCAATATGTTCTTTTCTTCCACCAATGTTGGAACTTTTCTCTCCACAGTCCGTCTCCTGCAGCTGGGTTGTTGCACAAACAAAATTGGGATTGTTTTTTTGTTTTAATATTAATGCTGTTTTCTACAAACTCCTGGAATTTACTGATGAGTCTCTTACTAAAGTTCAAGTCTTTACATGAAGCCTTAACTCCTCATCCAGTTTCCATGAGTTCTGCATAAGAGGCTGGTGCATCGTGGGAAAGAAGCAGATGTGCCCGTACTGCAAAGAGAAGGTGGATCTGAAGAGGATGTTCAGTAACCCGTATCCTTTTTACTGTTTTAATAAACTCCATAACTTTCATTTACTGTTTTTTCTTAATATTAAACTGTTATTTTAAAAAATAAAACTGACCAATAAGACTGTTTTTAATCTTATAATGGTATTTTGAGGGGAATAAAGAGAACACAACCTGTTTTTGACAGAAGCAGAAGTTTGACAATTGCTGCTTGTTAATGGTAATTAACTGTTGGACCCTATATGTTGGCAGCTTGCATATCAAGTTCTGGTTCCTTTCAGTTTAGGCCATATTAGAGCCATTCAAATGTCAACAAGGTCACTTTTAGTAGATGATTATGACTAATGGCTAATTTGAAATCCCATAAGTTTTAATATAAACCTGTGAGGTAATGTCTGTCCAATGGGGAGACTGCTGCCTGCAGTTGTCAGGGAAGTAAACACAAAAAGGTATTGCTTTGAAAATATGAAGTGCTTTATCCAAGGATAGTGATTGAAAGTTTAGTGGAAGGAAAAAATAGTGTAAAAGAAACTAGGATAAGAAAGGATGTTTCCATGTTATGGTTTACAAATAGAGTCAAGATTAACAGACAAATTTGCTTCTTTGTTTTCTTAGCGACTGAATATTGTTTTTATTAGCTGTTGCAAATAGAAGTATATAAATACAATTCATACTTTGAGCTTAACATTTTAAAAGGAAATAAGCTATTGTTGTATCATGTACCCGTTCATTTCCTGAACTGCTTCCTGAAGCTGGGAAAGGCCACACGTGATGTATGGACAGCTTTTAGACTGGCTTCGATACCTGGTGGCCTGGCAGCCCGTCATTATCGGCTTTGTTCAAGGTATCAACTACACCCTGGGTCTGGAGTGATCCCGGACTAAAGACCTCAATGGACAGAAGATATGCACTGGCTCAAACGCATCGGGCCTAACATTCTAAAACCCATCAAAGGTGTCTCTACTTTTTGTAAATATTTATAGGCGCATATCTGTATTTACGGTTGAGTTTAATTACTGTTCTCACTCTGGAGCTCTGTCACTTTCCAAGGATTTGTTTCACATCTCATAACCATGTTAATCATGATTTGGTTGAACCAGTAAAATGGTTTTCAAGATTATTAGAAAGGTGCTTTTTACTGATTGGTCTTAAATATTTGTTTAAAGTGTCATGCTGGAATTTGTGATGTCTCTGTCTGAAAGTTGAGTCATAAATCTTGAATGGAAATCATGACTTCCTCAAATACACAAACCCAGATTCTCTTCTTTTTATTAATCATCTGGCTGCTTTATACATTTGGTGATATATTTTTAGCTTATAGAGGCCTAGGTTACTTCAAAACTGAAGCAAGTCATCTTGTGACTGAAAGCATTAGGTCACTGGGGAAAACCTTTTGATCATATTAAATCCAGGATTCCTACACACCACTGCATGACACTTTGATGACCCTTCACACACAGGTTATCGCTTCAACTATATTAAAAGGTTAACATTCCCTAGTAGCCCTTGAAAACTAAAATCAATTGTTCTTACTAAAGTAACGCTTTTAGGTGGTAGGGACGCTAGATGTGTGACCTACAGGTTTAGGGCCCCTGAAAGCAACTGGCAGAACGGCACTTTCGCAAAGTGAATGAATCTCCATATGTTGGCAAACGACTTGAGACCAGCAGGTTGAAAAATCATGGAGGCTCTTGCAAAGAGAAGTCTTGACTAATCCGTAACCAGATAACCAAAAATGTCTGTCAAGGTAAGGGTTAGATCTGTTTTGTTTACAACTTTTAGCTTGATTAGCTCAGACTGCCGTTAAGAGGCGCTCCAGATCAAATTACTTATTCAGAGACGGATCCGCTCCTCGCATAAATTCTTACCAAAGTATTAGAGATAAATTAAAAGATTTTGGTGGATCTCTGTCTGAGCTGCCCCCAAGAACTCGCCTACGTAACTAGAGCAGACTTCCCCAATTTCGGCTCTCTAGGCCAAGAGGTGCACCATATTCTGTGACCCAGCAACACAAAACTAATACCTAAACCCAAAAAAAAAGTGTGCAGTGAAATACATGCTGGCCTGCGTCAAAGAATATGGAAGGATCAGTAGAGGTGGGCAGACCGATCCTAGGTTCTATACTATCGATACCAACGCTCCTATTGATATTGAACAATACTCGTTAAACAAGATCGATACTCTTCTTGTACCAAAAATAAACTTTGAACTCCCTTTAGTAATGTACAAAAAAAACTATTTAAGGTCAGATCGCCATACACTTCAAAAAACAGCAAAAAGTAAGTAATTAAATTATTTTTCTGTACATGACTAAAGGGATACGCCCATTGAGGTAGTTTTTATGTTAATTTTTTTGTACAAAACTTCAGGGATAAACTAAAGGGATAAACGTGTATTACCTATGAATATGCTGGTCTGACAGGGTATGCTCATCTGACAGAACATTGGTTAAATGTAGTGGAAACACAAGTTTAAATAAGCACATGAAATAAGCATGAGCAAGAAAACATCAAGCTACACAAATGGAGAGAGGAGACCAAACAGATCCTCGACCCTCAGATAGACGTCTCTGACAGAGGCGTTTCAGATCTCCAGAGAATATCCAGGTAGATAAGAGTCATCACCTTCATATTAACTTTCAAAGTAGACATTATCAAGCGATATAACAACTATATCAAGCGATACAAGGCTTCGTTTATATAAGACTCCAGCTCACTGCTGATCCAGACATTTGAATTGAGAAAGCTTCCTGGAGAGGTGGCGAAACGTCTTCAAATCTTGGAAACCAAGTCCAGTGGATATTTTTTGAATTTTTACAGAATAGACACTATATGTCATGTGTTACTGGATACCATTCAGAAAGTGTAGTTGAGACCTTGAAAGAACCCAGCACATTTATCCGATTGAAACGTATTATCTAAATGGGCAAACATTTGCTAATCCTTTATTTATCCCACAATGTGGAAATTTATAGAATTAAAGCAACATGCAAGTTCACACAATACAAACAAAATTGCATAAGGATTGAAAGATAAAATATAAGAAGTGGATTTGGAAAAAAAAACACTATGAACATAACATTTTCATTGAATACTAATATTCGATTGTAATAATAAAATAAAAACCACACAAAAAGAGAAAGGTTCCATAATACACCAAGCTTAAATATAAATTGCCGTATCGTATCGATATCGGCAATACCGACCCTGTATTTACTAGGTATCGTGATCACTCTGCTCTAAGGATCGGATCGGTCTGTGAATGAATCACGCGACAAAGAGTGCCACAGGCTAGACGCTGTTGGCCAACAAAACATATCACACATATCTGCTCAGATATTTTTTGTTTCTCTGATGTAGAACTTATCCTAGAGCAGTGGATATGACCTTGTCTTTACAAGAAACTCCAAAACTTCTCAATCTAGTCCAAAGGGGTTACAAAACAGACTGGTTCATTTAGCTACGATGCATGGAAAATAGCCGATAATCCTGGAATCTATTAGTCTAGCGTTCCTGGTGGCTAAGAGTCACACAATTGTCTCAAATTAAACTAATTTTTGGTTCAAAAGCTGCATAACAGTGGAAAAACACACACTCTGGAAGATACTTAAAGAGTAAACTGATTAGTTGTAAAATAAAAGATTTTGATCAAACTGGGTATTTAAATAAATGTTGCTGTCATTTTTAACATAAGATTTTTAAAGGTCAATTTTAAAGGCTAAATCCTCAAATCAATAAAAAGCTTGTCTGTACAACAAGCCTAAAATGAGAAGTTTCTATGCAAAGTAGAAATAAACACCAATCCTCTAAACGTCACATTGTTTAGATGCTGTATTATCCAAACAATGCACATTTACAGGGTTTCCACTGAATGACGATGCACAACCACATACATGGACTCAATGACTCAGGATTCACCAGAGAACCTATCGAGTTCAAAGGAAAAAATAGGCCTATAGACGGAGCTGAGAGGAAATTCCCCACGTGGATAAAAGGGAAGTATGCATGAATAAATGCAGCAGTCCAGCGCTGCAGCCAGAAGGTGATACTGGCTGAAAGAAACAAGCATGAAGCTGCAATCTGCCATTGAAGGTAATTTTGCATGTATTTTTTGTATCTATTATTTGTTTGCATTTGTTTGTTTGTGATATTTTTATGGTCTCTGCTGCAGTTTTTGGATGTGTATTTCTGCTGCTTGCAGATGGATTTCCAGGTCAGTATTTAAATATGACATTGTTTTATTATGTATTTTATTTTTTTCTCGCTTATCTGTGATGTTCAGTTTCAGACTTTGACTCTCCAAAGATCATCGGGCCTCTTCACAACAACATCAAAGTGGATCCAGGTAACACTTGCATAGCTTCATGTCTGATAAAAGTATCTTTTTTTATGAGTAAAATCCATATTTTGCTTTCAAATGAAATATGTTCAAAGCAGTAATTCCAATCCTGATTTGCTGATCTTTTCAGGCGAGCTGCTTGTTCTGCACTGTGATGCTTTTCCAAACTGCGATGAAGACGAGGCTGTGATCTACTGGCTTGTCAACGGCTCTTTCCCAGAGGAAACACCCAGTAACGACAGAATAATCGAATCAAAAGAGTAAGAATTATTTGAAATTTCATTAAAAGCAGAAACACTTAAACGTCTAAATCATCTTAATGTTTGTGCTTTAAACCTGGTTCTGATCACAATCAACCATCCTGTTCTAGATCTTTAATGGAGGGCTCCATCCTGCAGAAGAATCTGCTGTTAAAAAACGTCACATCGGACGATTTTGAGTCCACCTTCAGCTGCGTTGTAACAAATGCAGTGGGAATGGCACAAAAGTTCATAAAGTTAGCAAACACAGGTTGTAGCAGTAACTGAAAGGGACAATAGGTTTTATCCTGTAACTTACACATTTGACACTATGACGCAGTATTACGGCCATACTAAGACCTTTTTTTCAATTAAAAAAATAAAGTCGTAATACTAAGAAAATACAATCAGAATATGAGACAAAAAAAGTGTTTTAAGAAGACAAAAGCCCCACTTGAATTATTATTATATAGAGAAAACTTTACATTCAGGTAGGCTACTTCTTAATCTGGAAATGTTACCACTTTTTCTTTGGTAATATTAAGGCTTTATTCTCATAAAGTTCAACATGAATCTTTATTCTGGTACTTCTCTGACTTTATTCTGTTAATATGATTACCTTATTATGGTTATATAATGTTTTAATCTTGTAATGTTACGACTTCAGTCTGGTAATATACGAGGGACGTTCAATAAGTAATGCCCCTGACCCTCCTCCAGTTCTTTGATCTAGCTGAAATTTTTGCATGTGCAATTATTTATATCTCTGTAGATTAAATAGTAAATTAGGGCTTTGAACTAATTGTGGTTTCTGATTTATAGGTTTTCGAACTGAGTCAGGTCTGAAATGGAGCCTGTTGAGTGTCGAGCAGTGATTCATACCCCACAGAGACTTGTGATAAAATGAAACTAATTTATGGTGATGATGATTCCCCATAATATGACAGTAAAATGTTTAACAAGATCATATGATGGCAAATCCTCTTCAAGTCCCCCCTGGTCTGCGGTCTTTCAAATACAAAAACAATATCACTGCTCGACACTCAACAAGCCCCTTGTCAGACTTGACTCAGTTACAACTGTAAATCAGAAACCACAATTATTCCAGAGCTTTAATTTACTACTTAATCTACAGAGATATAAATAATTGCACGTGCATAATTTTAGCTAGATCAAACAACAGGAAGTGGTTCAGGGGCATTACTTATTGAAAGCCCCTTTTATATACTTGAATATGGTTATATGACTATTTTAATCTGTATCTTAAAGTTTTTAATCTGGTAATGTTACAACTTTAATCTGGCAATAAAACTACTTTATTCTGGTATTACTGTATTAGGACTATTGTGGTAATATAGCTATTTTAATCTGGTAATGTTAGGACTATAATCTTTATGTATAAAAATCTGGTAGACCTAATATTATGCTTTAATTTTTTATATTTCATCTTTATTTTCGTGACTTCACAACTTTAATCTAGTAAACCTAATATTAGGACTTTTTTCTTGTATGACTTAATCTTGGTAATAAAGAAAACTATCTCTAGTATGGCGCTAATGTTGTAATAACATTGGTTGTTCAGTTTAAGGAATCCCTTCAGTTACAACAGAAAAAAAACATAAAGACATTTTATCCTCTCGGTTTCTGTTTTGAGGCATTTTAAGATGAAACCGAAACACTGACTGGAAATCTCCTGTGAAAAGTTCATAGTTTCAAACACTCTGAATTGTTTGTGTGAAAACTAAGCAAACTGTGATTAAATTGTTTTCAACTGTCAATACCTGCGTTTAGACGCCCCATTAAGGCACTTTATATTCACTGTGGAAACAAAATAAAAGAAAATCCTAAACTTTTTGCTCTCACCTGCTTTTTGTTTACTTTGCTTTAAATGTAAAAAGCTGAAAGAAGTGAAGTGGGTTATTGTTGAATATCGCTATGATTCTGAGCTGTCATTGGTGCAGTTTGTCCTGCCATATGGATCCTTACTTTATCATTCCTTATGGAGACAACAAATAACCAAACAGTAAAGAAGAATAAAGACTGATTAAGTTATAGCTGTCAGAGAAATAAATATACTCAATTTATTCTCTTAAAGAGACAGTTAAAAGAAGAGAAATCTCTGACTTTACTTCATAAGATATTGGGGCTAAATAAGCATATCCCATTTTTATGATGGTTTATCCATCATATCCCGGGGAGGCCTCTGGTTCCAGATCCTCAGTGAAGTGCAGATTACTTTAGCTTTTGGTGGTGCAGTTCATGGAGAAACTCATGGTAGAGAAAAAAAGGACTGGCTCCTAAAAGACATTTCATCCCAGCGCTTTCACCCCCACCATGGACTGCTCTCCCTGCTTCCCTCTGGGAAGAGGCTTTGCAGCATTCAATGCAGGTGAAGCTAAATCTGCAACAGTTTCCTCCCCGCCCCTATCAGCCTGCTGAACTGTTGAAAAAACTCTAAATCATGTCAGACTCTGCATTGCACTGATTGCACCATGTATATTTAATATTTCATAAAATAAAATACTTTTTGTCTTTATTTGACTTACCGGTAATCTGAATCTGCATGGCATCGAGAGAAGCAAATAGGACTGCATTTATTTATTTTTAGGAATCTTGGGTTTATTAGGGCCATACAGAGTCTTAGTATTACCCAAATAATGCAATTAGAAAAAAATTATTTTACTAATCATTCAAACTGCAGAGAAGTTTAACTCAAGGGCTAAACTGATCTGAGTTTACAGTAAAGTTGAGCACTTCCTTAATCTCATAATTTAGCATTTTTCTCTCTATATCACAAGTTTAATCTGGAGACATTACCACTTTTAATCTGGCAACACTCCCATAAATAAACAGTTTTAATTCTGTTTACATTCCAATTTGCAAATCGGTAACGTTACATCTTTAATTACATAATGCATGATTTTAATCCTGTAACATCAAGATTTTTAATCCCATAATGTTTCAATTTTTAACACACTTCTTTTAAAATTGTGTTCTGATAGACTTAATGATTTTAATTTGGTTTTTGTAATAAAAAAAAAAGAAAATCCTAAATTGGCCCCAATACTCAGTAATAATAAAATATTAAAAGTTTTGGCAGATACAATATGAAGTTCTTTGCAAACATTCATTCACCTACTTCAACATCTTGTCAAACCACAAATTATAATGAATTCTGTGGGGATGGTGTGATAAAACAAAGTATGGCATAAATGCGAGTTGATAGGCAAATGATTTATTTTATTTATTCATTTCACAAATAAAAATATCAAAACTTTGATGTGCATTCATAATCAGCCTCCATTCCACTCCATTAAAACCCAGTACATCCAGGTGCCTCATTAGAAACTCTAATCAGTGGAAATTATTCCCAGTATACATGTAGCTGTCCTCTAATGGCCTCGGTTAGTTAGAGAAAAACAAATACAGCATCATGAAAAACAAGGAACAAAGAACGGGTCGGGTAGACAGAGATGGATTATTTAAGTCCAGAAGTTAGAAGCTTTAAACATGACACAGCTGAATCCATGCACAGGGGAAACAATCAGAGCATCAGTTTGAATGCTGCTAGGAAGTCTGGAGTCCACAGCATTAATTGGCATGAAATGAGCCAGACGTTTCCTGTTTCCCCTCGACATGTAGGAGACACAACAAACATGTAGGGAAAGTCTACTCAGATAAGAAACATTTCTGACCCACATAAAAACAACTCTAGAATAAAACCAACACTGCATATTACCATTAATTCACCACCCCCATAGTTAGACATGGCTGGGGCATAGTCATAATGCGGGCTGCTTTTCCACATCAGAGACAATGATTCTCAAAAAAAAAACACCATCTTTAATCCAATCCAGTCCAAGAAGTCTAGAGATAGATGCAGCTAAAATTGGGTGGAAGACCAGAGAAACAGTTTTCACAAACACTCTTCGACCCGATTTCATGGGCACAGACAGGAATCTGTGCAGGTATGAAACACTGGCTCATTCCACTGCAAATCTGCAGCTAGGGTTGCAGCAAACTGTGATTCTAAAAATATCTACTCAGGACAGTAGTAGTGTTTTCAGCTATTTACCCCTTTTTCCTCCACCTGATAATTTTCCACTACTTTTGCAGGCGTATCGCATGAAAACCTGACAAATCAAACGCAGAGGACTGTCTGTGGTTGTAATGGGACACGATGAGGGGAAGGTGATGGAGTATAACTACTGAAACCAGTCGACATACTGGGGGCAAACAAGGAGACCAGGGCCCCAAATCACAAAGAAACCTCCTTTATTAGCCTAAAAAGGGCTTCAGATAGATGACAGCAACTCTGAGCTACGATAAGCACTTTTTAAATTAGTGAGGTTTGGTTGACCTTGTTAGGTATGCTGTTGACTTCAAAGACCTGGTTGGTTGATGAGACAAAAAAAAAAAAAACTAAATGAGACATGGATTAAAGGTGCTTAGTCATGTTATACACCTCTAAAAAAAAAAAGTCCTTTATAAGCCTGAATAGCATTCCAGCACTGGATGCAATGAACAGGCATAAACAGAGGTTTGCACCATCTGCTGGTGGTACAGCAAAACTACAAGAAAGCCGAGATATAACAGAGCTCAGCGCTTTATAGAAAATCCTCCCCAGGGCCCTCTATCAGAAAATCAAGGGGAAAAAAATCTTGTTCTTATCAGGAGAAAACAGGGAAACAGCATTAAGGTAAGAAATATTTCAATTAAATAAAATGTAAAAAAAAAAACATAGGCTAAAACCTGTTTCATTGGATTAAATATAAATGAAACACATCAACATATTTCTATGATAGATGCATTGTTGATGAGCCAAATGTTTATTTCACTGTTTGTACTTGGGCTGCAGAGACCAACACTAGCATTGCTATCACTATTGCTATCACTAGCAGGAGTGCTTGAGTCAAAGCTCATTTATCAAGGGATCATGGTGCGAAGACGCTGCCTTTGAGGCACATTTCTGAGTGGATTTTATCTGCTTTTAACGTCATTTTTTTATTTACTGCTTCAATATTTAGAAATAAAACTCCAGAGATGAGATGGCATCACACAGCAGACGTCTGGATGTCCTTTAGGTTATGGATACTGACTTCATCATGTACAGCACAGGAGAGCTCGGCTGGATTGAGGGTGTACTGTCGTACTGTTACACTTTCATTTTTTGTGTATATATGTATATTTTTATGTACATATTTTTAGGGCTGAAACAATTAAAATGTGTGAGATATATATATATATATATATATACACACACACACACTTATCTGTCCATATGCTCTATCCAGAACTCCTCAAGTGAAAAAGTTTTAGTTTGACCTAAATAATAGGTGAAACTTTATCACTGAGAAAGTTTTAGTCTGCAATACCACAAAGTATTTTATTCCTCTAACATTTTCTACATTTGATTCAAAATTTATATTTATCCTTCTATTTGTTTACCTTTGATAAAATGACATAACTAGACGTTGCCCATTTAACCCATCCAGCTGCTAAACTCATCTCCACCAAAGTGGATGAAAAAGTTGATCAACTCTCAATATTTGTTCTCATTATTTTACTGTTTATGTTTCCTCTGTCCTCTCTACTATAGACCTAACATTTTTTCCACTTAAGATACTGAAGAGTAACGTCCTGCCGCCGTTTCTGCGACTAATGCTGGTCAGCACCAGAGGATGGTCCTAAAATAGAAGTCGGACCCAACATGACTTTTAACAAATATGTATTAAATTAATTGACCTTCGGTTTAGGTTTCTCATCCAAAATTAGGATTAAGATTAACCTTTAGAACGGGATAAACCGAAGATATTTAAATTAAGCTTCCTTGGTCAACTTTGGTTCTTTTAGGTTTGACTGAATCTTATTGGGCAAAATCTAAACAGCCATGTAAAAAGAGCAGTGTTTAAACATCTGTACGAAAAGCTTTGTGTAAAAAAGTTGAAATTGGAGTTTAAATGAAACCTTTCAATTGCATTAAGTTTTTAAATGAAGAATGAAACTAAAAACATTTAAAATTCAGCTGAAATAGCAAACCACTTGTATTTTCTTGTATTGTAAAGATGGTGGCGCCCTGCCCTGCAGCAGAGGGCCTCTCTAAGGCCCTGGATCCTCTGGGAGGAACTTTTATCTTATCAAGGTAAAAGTTTAAAGCTTTTTTCCTAAAATGACGTCACTTGGAGCTTCCTTTAGTCTCAGGGATCTTTATTAAAACGGGCCATGACCTCCGAATATGTTGATAGTGTCTAAGATGAATTTTATTCTAGCAGCTTCTCCTTATTTGCTCCTTAACAACATAAATAAGCAAGCGTAGCCTGCATTAGTGTGTTTTATCCATGTTTTCATCTATTATATGCTAAAATGTTCAATTCCTTGCATAGTCGGCTGTTTACTGGAACCAGTTTGACTTGGAGCCAAGTCAAAGTTTAAAGCCCGACTCCTCCAGGCAGCGCTGCAGGTTGGTTTTACGATCCGGATACGGCGTTTCTTTGGCCTTCTTGATGACAGACGCGCAGTCTTTCGATAAATCTCCCAACTTCGCCGAAGGCTTAAGTAACGGCTGAAGAAGTTCTTGGTTGGTTTTGCTCGCCATCCCGAAGAGGAAACGCAAAAACAAATCCAGATGGCCATCTTCACACTGCAGGCTTTTTTCCACCGCTGCCTTGTAGACATCCATGATTTTCCCTCCTTTGGAAAACAAGGATTTCACACCGTTGCTGAAAATGTTCTTCTCGTGGTTTGTGTATGAGAGGAACGCATAAAGAGCAGCCAGGTACTCCTGCATGGTGGGGTGCAGGAAACTCACCACGTCCTCGTCGAACAGCACCTGTGGGGTTGTTGT